ATTTTTGAAGATCAAAGGCAATAAAGCCACTAGGACGCAAGGGGTTACTGAGTGTTAGAGAATATGAGAAAAAACTACTATTAAGGAGAGAAGACAATAAAAGAACAAGAATTAAGAAGATAGAAGATAACGATTGACAATGCATTTAAATTTTTGAAGATCAAAGTCAATAAAGCCACTAGGACGCAAGGGGTTACTGAGTGTTAGAGAATATGAGAAAAACTACTATTAAGGAGAGAAAACAATAAAAGATAATGACTGACATTACATTTAAATTTTTGTAGATCAAACTTGACTGGAAAGCAAGCAGCTGGAAGAGAGTTTCACAAATGAGAAATTTGAGAATTGAAACTTTTAGCAAAGAACTTATGGTTACATTTAGTTGTTTCAACTGTGAATTGATGAGATCTTGCTACCAATCTAGTACTGTGCTTAAATTCATAAAGTCTAGATATCATAGTGGAAAGTTCATCAGAACAATTACCATGAATGTATTTATAGAAAAATCACAGGGAAGATGTTATGGTGATGGGAAAATGACTGAAGTTGAGATGCCAGGTCATGATCAATAACATTGCAGATTCTGCTTTGGATTTTATCAAGAATCTCTAAATATATAGCAGGAGCATCAGACCAGATGTGGCAACAATATTCAAAGGAAGGATGATTAGTAGACTTATAAATATATAAGATAGTTTACAAGGTGTGTAAAGAGTTAGGCCTAATAATGCTCAGTGGGGTCATACGATAGAGCCAAGCAGACATTTGAGCCCTGAGTGACTTTCAGCTCAATTATGGACCGATGTTAATGTTATTTGTACTTAAAAGGAAGATTAAAACAAAACTTCCACATTTCTAATTTAAAAAAAAAGTAAGGGTTTAGGTCCAGAATCCCTGGTCTGCAGTGAAGAGCTAAAATTCTTGAAAAGAACTTAAATTTTGCATTCAAACCATTTTTAGACTTTTCAGTGCCAAACATGAATTTGGCACCCACAGAACATAGAGAGGTCTAGATCATGATTTTCTGATAAATACAATGAAAGTTATTTCTATCTTAATTTCTGGGCTGGTGAGTTATCATTATTTACATGTCGTCTATTGTCTTCATCTTTGTTGTTATCAAATTTTCAAAATGTTTTCTGTTTTTAAATAACCTGCAAAAGGTTGATAAACCATCAAAAAAGGAATCGATCAATCACTTATTAAGAGGAAAATTAAAGCAAAACTTAGACATTTCTAAATAAAACTTTCATATTTCTAATTAAAAAGTAGGGGTTGAGGTCTAAAAACCTTAGTCTGCAATGAAGAGCCATAATTTCGGAAAAGAGCTCATATTTTGCATTTAACTCGACTTCTGGAATAATTTTCAATGCCAAAAATTATCCAGTATCCTCAAAAACATAAGAATATAGGTCTAGATCATGATTTTCTGATAAATATGAAGAAGGTTATGTTGAAAACTGATATTTGTTACCTAGCATAAAATGCTAAATGAAAGGGACTAAGTACATTTCAAATATCTTCCTGAGAACAATTTTCGTACATTTTGCTGATTTCAATTGTTTTGATATTTAGAAAATTATTCAAATTTGGGGATCAAAAACAAAACAGAGTAAAAAAAAAAAAAAAAAAAAAAAAATAGTTTGACTGAATTCTGTGTTGGTCAAATTCCTGAAATGAACTCATTTGGACGTGTTTTGTGGGATATTCAGCACCGCTCAAAAACAAGAATAGAGGTCTAGATCATGAGTTTCTGATAAATATGAGGAAAGTTATGTTGAAAACTGATATTTAGTGCCTAGCATAATGTGTCAAAAGTGAGTAATGTAATTAAAGCAACTGAGTAAATTTTAAATATCTTCCCAAGAACAATTTTCTTACAGTTTGCTCATTTAAAATGTTTTAATATTTAGGAACTTAACCTTAAAAAGAAGAAAAAAAAACTTTGTCTTTAGCACTTATTTGAACTTGGAGACAGAGACAAAAAGCAGTCAAAATTTGGTTTGTTTGTTTAATCAATTCCTTATGGGTAAATTACCCATAAGGAATTGATTAAACAAACAAACCAAATTTTGACTGCTTTTGAATGCTGAAATTTAATTTTCTTGGGAGCTTAGGTAATTTTGTTTTTTTTTTTTTTTGCTTTTTTTACTATTAAAATCTATTGCTTGAAATTTTGTTTTTATTATTAAAAATTTATTGCTTGTAGTTTTATCATAAAAATGTATTTTTATACTTTCATAGTATTTTGACCACAGTTTGGAGTTTCGCTATTTTCCCATAGCTGGAACCCTAATAGGTGCCACCCCCTCCATCTCGGGTCAAGTAAACCTGGGATCAACAGCAACTAAGAGGTGGTTCCATGTCCCTCAAAACCTCCAAATCAGAGGCTTTGCTGCCAGATGTAGTTTATTGTCATACTCAAAACAATGGTAAAATATGGGAAAAGATTTAACTGAATTTTTGTGTTGGGCTCTAAAATCTTGTTATAGATGTCATTTTTGAAAAAGAGTGTCACATTAAACCTGCTTGTCACTTATAAAAAGAAAGATTCCAATAACTTTCCTTGCAAAAATAGGCAGGAAAAATATGCTTCCAGAATTGATAATCTAAAAATCTTCTGCTTCTTGTCTTATAACTTGTTACGGTTGTAGGGTGTTCTGCAAGATGGGCTTGCTCATCAAAAAGCTTACACTTGAGCTGGTCATTTGTTAGCATCTGGGTCTGGGAAAAACTTTTGCTGATCTATTCAACAACTTTGTCTGACCTTCTCTTTCTTTTGACATTTCTTACCTCTTTGTACCCCATTCCTTGTAGGATGATCTTAGAGGTGACTTGATCTAGTTATTTTGGCCATACCACTTCAGTTTCCTCCTCTTTATGGTGGTTAACACATCTTTGTAGCCATTTATCTGATTATTCAATCTTTTATGTACCTCTTTATTGGTGATGTGGTCGGTGTTGGAAATACCAAGCAGACATCTGAAATATCTTCTCTCTTCTGCCTTTGGAGTCCTGCTATTAGAATAAATTCTAAAAAATAAATGATTAAAAATGTTTGAGTTTTTAATTAACTTCAAATCATAATAACTTGACAAATACTTGCAAGTCCACTGTCTAATGTGCAATTCATCTCTTTGCCTGAATAATATTGACTATGTAATGTGACGTGGAATCTGAGATGCTGGAGGCTGTGCATTCTGATATATCTATTCAGTTCACATATCTGTTCACAAGATACTTATGTTGGGTGTGTGATTATATGGAAATTTGTGAGATCTCCCATGTTTAATATACATATGGTTACCAACTGACCTTTATTGGCCAAAACAGTCCCTTTGTGTTTATGTCAAGGCTCCATATAGGACATACTACCATAACCCATTCATATATCCTAAAAATTGGAAGATCCTCTGGTATGTGGGGCATGTCATGAGCCAGTCACCATAAAACACATACTGACAAATTACAGCAATTTTAATACAATCCACTTAAAATGCTACCAAACAAGAAACTTAAAAGAACTTTTTTTTTCAAAATACTGATTCATTTTATATATTCCAGTTTCTAAAAGAAATTAAACCGATTTCAAAAATATAATTAAAAAAAAATATAACCATAACTAACAGCAGACTTAATTTATAAAATAAATTATTTTTTGACTGTTTAAATACAAAATTTTATTTAGAAAAATATTAACATTTAGCACCCTGCCTCATTTATAAATATTACTTCCTCTTTTACTGTATATGGAATTCCCCCCACCTCAAAATATAGTGTTTTATATATTAGTTCTATATATTTGAAATTACAGTAGCCTGGCTCAAAATTTCAGTCAAAATTGTTTTAGGTGTTGCCATAGAAGGATGTGACTACACAACTAAGAAATTCAAATTCAACTTGCATTGTCAGGACTAACATTTTGCTTGGTGAAAATAGTCACCGACAGAGTGGTAAATGCTAAATTTCAGCATTAAATAAGCCAATAGGTTGATATGCCGTAAACCAAACCAAACCTATTATTTAGTTCTTTCTGTGCTTGTTGTTTGTTGAATTTGGAAAGGACATCAAATGTCTTTTATTTTAAAAATGCTTTCCCCCAAAAAGCATTATATATATTATAAAAGAAAAGCTGATTCTGTCTGTCACACACTTTGTCATTATGCAAATTTGCATGCACATATTTAATATGAGTATGTGTCTATTGTGTTTGAGTGACTAAGTTGTGTTATTTAATGTGAAGCATGCACACACACACACACACACACACACACACACATATCACACATATAATTTGGTAGTTTGCAATAAGACATTGGAATAATACATTACCCTCTCATCAATCTGGACAACCCCCTATCCTGGGTCTTACGACCATATTGCGTTGAAACACTGATTCCAGTACATTCACCAAAATTAAGCAATGTCAAGCCTTATCAGTACCTAGATGGGTGACAGCTTCAGAATACTAGGTAATGTAAGCTTGGGTGATGTAAAGGATGACAACTCAGAAGTTCCAGTTCCAGTCGGGTTTGTTTTACTCATTTACATGCAATATCCTTGGGAAAGGCATGAATCTGCCTGTTCTCTGATCATCTATAGGTTAATTAGTAGGAAATTCATTATCTCTTAAAAACTTCTTATAAAAAATATTTTCTAATTTTAAATAACCTGCAAAAGGTTGATAAGCCATAAAAAAGAAGTCAATTAATAGACCATCCACATGTTACATTTTATACTATATTATATACCATATTATATTTTGTATTATAGAAAATACAATATGAAATTACTGGTGGCTAAATACTGGTTTTAGCAATTATAAATTTCCAAACTTGGCCTTTGGTTGCTTTTATCATCACAAATAATACTAGTTTTGATTAGTCATGAACCAATATAAAAATACAGTGGTTATCTGCAGTTATCTCTGGTCTTGTAATGTGAGTAAGCAAGTAGAAAAAAAAGTGATGACTAAGAGATGACATTTCTTAAATAAACCTTATGGCCATATCACATTGACACACTGGTTCTCATCTGATCACCAAAGTTAAGCAATGTTGAGCCTGGTCAGTACCTAGATGGGCGACTTTTTGGAAATACCACATGCTTGGATGTGCAGGTGGTGTTGTGGAAGTTTTCAAGAGAATGTGGTTTCTGTTATTTGGTACAGTTCTTTGTGAATTTGAGGTGTTAGTTTATGACTTTTGACTTGGCAAACAAATTCTGTCTGAAACAAGTTTGTCTTCATTTTACACTAATGCTGTTTTGGAAATGGCCTAAAATCTTTTTTCATTGCCTCTCTTACAGGCAATGAGCAAGAGTTAAGGGTGCCAAGTAATTTTGGTCATTTACTGCATCCTGTTCTTTCTCTCCAGTCAGCTTGATGATGACCTGTTTTTTATTCAAAACAAACAAGGATGAGAAATTAATCTTACTGTGCATAACTCTCCATTATGATAAGCTTAGTCAGGCATAAGTCAACTTCAGATGAAATGTCAACTGTATTGTATGCAGACTCGACAGAGCGCTGGCCATCTTGTACTCAGGCTTAGTGAAGAGTCAGATTTTAAAATTTTTTTTACATTACTCTGACATCTTTTTTGTTACATGAAATACTCAAAACCTTTAATCTTCACTATTTACAATATTCGGACTATTGTCCTCATCTTAGTCGGCATGTTTATCACACCCTTCAGTATCTGTCTATATTTCTGAGATGAGGTATTATGTACACTATTTACATTATTCGGACTATTGTCCTCTTCTTTGTCACCATATTTATTACGTTCCGGCCCTTCAGTATCTGTCTATATTTCTGAGATGAGGTATTATGTACTCTATTTACTTTATTCGGACTATTGTCCTCATCTTTGTCGCCATGTTTATCACTGTTTATACTATCTTTAAAAAAACTGAATACATGAACTTGTAAGTAACAGAAATAATTTTAACTTGATTTAAAATCAAAGTTATCAAAATCCATGAATTCCTAAACAAAATACAATGAGTTGGTATTAATTTTTTAATTTAGCATTAAAAATCCTTATTAGATAACATAATTCAGAATTCATCTTTCCTGCAACTTTCATTAATTAGTTCCGAGTTGAAAATAATTCTTCACCCCGAACTTGTGAATCATTTAGTCATAACTATTTTGTGAATAAACTTTTTACTGGAACATGTGTTTTTTTTTTTTGTTTTTTTTTTTTTTTTTTTTTTTTTTTTTATATATTACATCTTCCACCAATAATTTGATAGGCATTTAATAATTTCTTAATGGATTTTAAAAAGCAAAATATATAAATAATAATGAAAAATTCTTGCCTAAACCCAATTCACAGAAATCTAACCAAATAATTTTTTTATATAGCTTCTTGGTTGAAACTTAGAATTTTTCAGCACCTTCATTATAATTTTATGGCAGCTTTCTCTGACATCTGTTTAATTCAAAATCTTTTGAAAGTTATTCTAATATATTTTTAGCCAAATTTATAATCAAAATAACTTTCTGGATATGGTTTGTTGGTTTTAAACATTATTTCACTGCTAACTTTTGTATTTCTGGCACTACTGATCTTTTTATGTATCATGTGACAGATAGAACTAGGTTATATGGTATCAGCAGTAGAGAAGAATTTGTAATCTGTATATAGTTACAGTTAATTCTAAAAAAATAATCAGGACTTTATTTCAAAATGAAAGTTAGTATCTGTGACTTTGTAAGGAGTGTAGGTTTAGTTCTAAATAATTTTTACAAGATTGACAGTCTATTCATGACTTTGTAGGTGAAGAATTATTTTTCATCTTCCAACTCCTTTCCCCCCATTTGAAATGTTGCAAGCCTCTTGCTACTCTATTGCTATTTCCATAACGAATGTTCTGAGAAAATCCATTCCTTAGTTTCACCAGTTCAGACCTTCACAACTGTGACATGTAATGTCCACAAGGTTGAATCAACTTCATTGTCTTTGTATTTCATTACAAAGAAGGAAGTTTAATTTTGACATCTCAAGAACTTCTACTTTGTGAAACAGACTCCCAAGAGGATACTTTTCCAATCATTGTAATCTTAACCTTTACAAGTCTAGAGTCAACTCTTATTTACTTTCAATAACTTCATTCAGTAACTCTTTCAATGGCTCTTGGGCCATGTGTTGGGTGAGCAACAGTAAAAAATGTCTCTTGCTTGGAAATTATATTTGTTAGGGATTTGTCAAGTTTTATTTTTAAATTTTGTTATATCTTATTGAGTTTTATCAAATGATTCAATTCATTTAAAAAAAGTTTTCCAGTCAATTTAAATTAGTTTTGAAATACAGCAAAGTATTTTGCTTATTGCAGATATTAAGTTTAATCTAATTAGCTTGAAATTAAAACTAAACTAAAATAAAAGCTTCAAGAAAGATTTTTCATTTTTTAAAATTCATTTTAAACTTTAGGTATCACTTTTCTTTGGAGGTACATACATACATACATACATACATACATATGTATATATATATATATATATATATATATATATATATATATATATATGTATGTGTGTATATATATATATATATATATATAGGATTGGTTTATACAGAATAAATTCCAACAATTACTATTCTTAAGAGAGTGCTCAATACAGAGTAGAGCAAAATAGCTTATGTAACAGCATTTTCCCTTGCAAGGGGTAGTTAATTGATTTGAACTTTTTAAATCCCTTTATTCTACATTCAACATCATCACTTGATAAGACACCAGAGGTGTTAATACAAAATGGGTATTTTTGTGGTCATTTTATAACATATTTATGTTATAATTTTCAAATAAATAATTATATATATAATATATATATATATATATATATATATATATAGTGTGTGTGGGAGACATACATGTTTTGTCTACTTATTTTCAATTGGATCCTTTCATATTCACAGACAAGCTTTTTGGTGTCATTATTAAAGGAAGAGAGAAAATTACCATGTTGATACATATTTTATTCCAAATACATTCAACATAGCACAATGTCACCATCATACATACACATATTTTTTTATATATATATATATATATATATATATATATATATATATATGTGTGTGTGTGTGTAAAAAAATATATAGAAAATAGGAAAGAACTCGTTAGGTAAATAATACAAAGTTCTTTAGTATTTTTGTTATTATTTTTAAAAAATAGTGCTCGATACAAAAGTAGAGCATAAATATTATAAATAATTGACATTTTCGGCTCTTGTTTTGAAACATGGGAACTCTTATGTAGCGTTGGAATCATATTTTTAAATAAATATATATGTATATATATATATATATATGCACCCATCCTGATCACTCCATCTTCACAGATGATCACCATCCCACACATCAACATTTCGTACTGTGTTCCTCGCTGACTGCTCTTGAATTTGAATGGCTATGAACGTGACTCTTCAAATCAGCAGCTGACTTGCATGGCTTGAAACATTGATGATAGATACTCTAGTCTCTTCATAGGACCAATCGGATCATGCTTTGATATCTGTTCCTTGTGTACTACCATGTGTCTCTTCAATCACGCTGTATATTTGCATACTTTGCTGCAAATCACACAAACAGTATCACCTAATCCTGAAGATGGCTTTGCATGAGAAGGCTGCCTCTCTCATGTGATTCCAGATGATTAACGTATCTAGCTTTAGACATTAGAATATGCTAGACCACCAATGTGTTTTCATGTTTCTCAGCATTTGTTTCAAATTTGCTCTGTGCACTTTGAAAGACACCTCCACTTGCAACCTGTTTGTGAGGCTTGTATCTAATAGTGACTTGTGCAGAGAATGCTTTTTTCCAGTAACTAATGAATTATGGCATCATTCTCATTAAACCAATCTCCGTTTTCACTAATTCAGACCAAGAATATCCACACCAGTTGAGTAAACTTGGTTCTTAAAGTTCTCCTAAGAGCCATCAAATGTAATGTTGCTAAAGATGTCTGAGAGCTGCTGGCATATACCAGAATGCCTAAGCTTTGCCACATTAATGTTCTTCAGAATTTTGGCACCAACCAAGCAAACTTTTCTCTTGGTTGCTGTTTGAAATTTCCACAGACTAGTTTGTAGTTCGTATCACACTAAGTGCTACATAACACATGGTCATTACAGACATCCTTCATCCTAGTGACAATAAAATGTATCATGTAACTTGGAAAAGCCCCCCCCCCACCAATAATAAAAATAGGGTATAATATTGAGCCAGTGGAACAATATATTCCTGCTACTAAGATACTTTAGGTACCAAAAATTTGGACTTCATAGGGATAGCTGAAGGAGTCACCCAACATGTGGAAAATGTGGCTAAAGGGATTCAAACCATTCTGAGGAAGAATCCCATGATGAAATAAGATGTGATAACAGTCAGAAAAAGCCATCCAGCATACTCTAGAACATGTGATTTCTGGAAAAAGGAAAGGTGTTATAGTGGAACACACCTATTCTATAGTTAATAGACTCTCCCACCTATAATAAGTAGGAGTAGTAAGAGTAACAAGTGAGTCAGTCAATGTCGGACGACCGTTAGTCGGATATTAAAGTATCAGCCACCACAACTAGATTACTGCGTCATTACCTATTATATCAAGTTCCTAACGTTTTGTACGTTGAACCTATTTTAGGACCGACTTAGTACAAAAACAAGGCTCCACTGTGAAATCACTACATAACAAAAGGGATTAAAAATATAAAAGAAACATTTTGTTTTCAGAAGCAAACTGGGACAAATTTAAAAACCAATGTTCTTATAAACTAACTGAAGGTAAATGCATCAACGACAGCATATAGAAATCCTGATATCTATTGCAAAGGAATGTATTTCTAAAAGTTCATTCCCCAAAAAATGTAACAGATTTTGATTCAATGATGAGTGTAAAGAGCTATCAGGCTCAGAAGAAGAGCTTTTTAGAGATTTTAACACATTTCAACCTCTAATTTGTTATGATTTAAGCAACTTCCTGCAAAAGCATGGAAAATAATTAAAGCAAAAAAGAATGTTGGAAAAAGTATGTCAGCAGATTTAATTCTGCCACAAAAACAAAATTTGTATGGGATATGGTAAGGAAAATAGCTGTTGAACATTATTCTGATGATATAAAACATCTCTTGATAAATAACTGTAAAATAAACAGCAAAAAAGGATATTGCTGATCAATTAGCCAAAACAATCTCCAAAAACTCATCTGCCAACAATTTCTGAAGCTCCAAGCATTCTTATTTATTAATCTGTGCATTTGAGAAATCTTAGTTAAAAAAAAAAAAAAAAAAATGTTCTCCAGCAAGAATTGAACCCGCATGACCTTTGTAGGGAGAATCACTGTTTGATCCAGTGTGAAAGAGAAAATAGAACCTTGCTTATGGTGACATTCTTTGTGGCTAAGCTGTAAAGAACACTGGGTCAAATGGTCATTTCCACTTCCAAGAGGTACGCAGGCTTGATCTCTGCTGAAGAACACATTTTCTTTTTCCTTTATTAAGATTTCTCAAATGTACCACTGGGTGGGAAATATTTATAATAATAAATAAAAATGGCGCATCTATTTTAAATACAAAGTATCCATTCTAATGTTTTGAAGTAATTAGAAAGTTGGATTAAAAATAAATAAATCCATTAATTCTTGTGTGTGTGTGTATATGTGTGTGTGTATATATATATATATATATAGCTATAATAGGAAAAAAATATAGCATTAAGCCATGCTATATTTATGGGATAAAAGTGCTCAATATCAGAGATAGTGTATGTAAATATAAAAGTGAACACTGAAGTCAACACTCAGAGGCAACAGGCTGTTTCATGCTAGAGGCAATTGTTTATATATATATATATGAAGAAATATAGTCTTAAGGTGTGCTATATTTATGGGATAAAGTGCTCAATATCAGAGATAGAGCGTGTGTAAATATAAAAGTAAACATAGAAGTCAACACTTAGAGGCAAGAGTCTGTTTCATGCTATATGCAATCGTCAGGCCTGACGATTGCATATAGCATGAAACAGACTGTCGCCCCTAAGTGTTGACTTCTATGTTCACTTATATATATATATATATATATATATATATATATAGTTTGTGATTGTATGTAAAGAATGGACTAATTTTACTGGAAAATAAAATGCCAAGGGAATAGAAAACAAAAAGAACCAGATGATGAAAGAATAAAAAAAATATTGAATCATTTGTTGCCAAGGATGCACAATCTCTTTATGTAATTTAGAGCTTTTTTTTTTGTCTTTCATTTGGAGATGAGAAATTTTGTAATTTGCTGAATTAACCTAACAAAAATATCAAACTATAAAAGTTAAGATTGCAATACTATTTGACATATTTTATCAAACACTTTTGCGTAATCTGTAGGACTAGGTATAAATACTTTTGCATTTGTATTGCTCTTTCTGATATCATTCTCCTTGTTGTATCGCCTTTAATGATCCCATACTTGTTTTGTCCTGTTTTCAGTCTAATTTTGCTGCATTCTCTATTAATCAGAATTTGGATGATAAAATTTGTTTAGGCTGATTGTCCGATAGAGTTCACATTTGTTTGCATTTTGTTTCTTAAGCAGTTCTATGAAAATAGATCTACTTAGGCCTTCCGGAATATCATCACTGTTGTATATTTCATTCATTATGTCTGTAATCTTGTCTATGCCAAAGGCTGCCAGCATCTCTATTACAATTCCATCTGGCCCTGCCACTTTGTTTCTGTTCAATTTGGTCAGTGCTGATTCCACTTCAGATTTTAATATTTCTGGTCCGTTGTTATTTCTGTGTATTGCTGGTTGTTCTCTTTTGATGTGAAAGAGTTCTCCGTTAAAACTCCTGATACACTAGTTCCCTGATCACCACAGAATGAAATATATATGATTATAAATGATTCAATTTTGATTACAAATCAAAATAATGGTAAAATATAAAAAAACCCTCCGATTTGGCACACTAGTCTCCTGATGACCCTAGAATGAAATGTATACATTTTGTGGTGGATAAATTGTCATCTAAATTAAGCAAAAATTGAAAATAACACTGTCATCTCATTTTAACAAGTATATTTACAAAAATGACACAAAAATATCTTGAAATACTAATGAGTTAATTTATTCAATAAAATCGCCATTGACTTCAAACACAGCCTCCAGATGACTTTGGAATCTCCTGCATCTCTTCTGAACAGTCTCCTTGTTTACTAAGGGTTACAAAGAACAAGAAGTTGTGGAGAGCCATAATCACCTATGTCCTGAATGTTATATAGAAGTTACCTTCTAGATCACCTCTCTGACACACTTAGCTCTTTTGATGTTCTGTGATACTAACTACAAAGCTTACTTCAGTATATTTTAGGGTGAACCCAGTATATATTGGGGTCACCACATATCAACTCTTCTCAGATCAAAGGCTCCTGATAGACATTAAATTCAATTCAGATCTCTGGTATTACTTGGGTAAAATCACATACTACATATTTTTATTCCTCCTGCAACTCTTCTGGACGGTCTTCTTGTTTAAGTTGGTAAATGCTGCCATAATCTTTGCCTTCAGTCCATTTTTGCTGTGACAAGGAGTTTTGTTGGTCTCTTCCTCAACTGTGTCCCCATACATAATAATCAAGGGGGTTGCAGTCTGGAGAGTTAGGTGGCCAGATGTAAGGGGTGATGTGGTTGCAAATATTGTCTGACATCGATGACTAGGTTCTCCTACTTGCGTAGCATGGTTCAGAGTTCTGTTGCCAGACATAGGGTCTTCCAACAGCCACCCTCTTAACCCAGAGCAGCACTACCTTCTCAAGACATGATGTAGGCCTCTATGTTGTCTGAAGTCCTGTGGGAAGATAAATAGAGGCATAATGTCATCATCTTTAGTGATCACTCCACACACCTTTAGACTCATCCAACTCTTTCGGAATCCTCTTCACTGTCCTCAAACACCTAAACATTCTGAAATGTTCATATTGGAGTTTTCAGCATGAATGCCAAGCAGTACAGCATGCCATTTTCAAATTTCTGGTGAAGTGAATTGTGGTATAGTGCTCTTTTTCTCACAGATGGTGCCCAACTGACCCTACTATACTGTGCTGTCAGTAAAGTAAAAAAAATAAAAAATGGCAACAATTTACCCATCACACCCTTTATGATTATAAATGATTAACGTTTGATTATAAATCAAAATAATATTAGAATATAAAAACCTCACTAAAAACATGCTTCTCAAATTTTTTTGGATGTTTTTTCAATAATGGTGTTCTTGGCACAATAATGAAAACTGAAAATAGTAGCCCTCATCTATACAAAATTGACCTTGCTGGTCATTTGTAACCTCCAAAGATCAAATTTTTCACATGCAAAAATCTCCATTTTAAAACATTGGAAATAAATTTTATCTCAGAATTTACAGCCATTTTTCATATGAATGACACAATGATTTTGTACAATAAAATTTTGGACATTTTTTTCCCTTTGCATATGGCTTTTTCATCCAGTAGTATTAATATTCACCCTACCCATCATCTTTCAACCTCTCCCTGCGGCTACACTCCCTAAATTCAATTCACTTTAACTTTCAATGTATCAACAGCATAAATAAGATTGTTTTTTTTTTAGTTTGCTTAAGGGCCAACCACCAGTTTGCTAGAAATGTAAAAATTCTGAAGTGGACCAAAAGTTTCTGAAGTGAGTAACCTTTATGACTTTTCTCTTAGGTCAATGACGTTGAGCAAAAATTACAAAAAAAAAAAAATGCCAGTCAGTGTGGTGGTGGTGGGGGGTCTCTTTTTTTTTTTTTTTTTATTTATGTGTAGTATAAATAAATTTTCTGTTTTCTTTTTTTCAGAAATGGTGTAGTTTTTCATGTTTCAGTCTTTTTTTTTTTTTTTTTTTTTTTTTCGGCTAGAAATGAGGGGGTTCATTTTTGTGTATAGTGTGAAGAATTTCTTTTTCCAGAAATGGAGTGTGTGTGTGAGGGGGTTAATATGTAATCTCAAAAAATCACATATTTTTGTGTTGTACTAAAGAACTCCACCCCCACCTCAGTGCCCAAATACAAATCTAGGGGAGCAAATAATTTTTAACATCAGAATATTCACCGCTTATTTGTCTTATAGGATATGAGGGTGGGGCCTAATGGATAGTGGCCCTGGATGAGAAATAAAAGAGCAGAGTTCAATGCTGAGAACTTTAAATTTAACGAAAAAAGTTTTTTAAATTCTCAGCATCACCCTCGCTTTTATGCAGATGTTTAGTCACATCAAAGTAAACATCACATTAGTCCAGTGTTTCCCAAACAGTGTGGCATGCCTCACAGGTAAGCCAGAAGAGGATAGCTGGTAAAAGAGAATGATTGAAAGACAAAGATTTAGAAATAGTTTAAAAAAATTCATGAATGCCAAAGATAAATATGATTTCAAAATTTAAAATATTATTATGGATTACTTGTAATTGCATGCATAAGTCCCAGTATAAATAGTTATAAATAATTATCGACCAATTTTATCATTGTGATATTTTTGCATTATATCAAGTATTAAGAATATAGTAACTAGGGTCTGCAAATGGGAGGAGAGAGTTATCAATGATAATGTTCAGATTTTGAATCAGCAGTTATCTCTCTTTAACCCTCTCTCTGTTTTTTTATTTTTAAATGTACTTTTTATCACATAAAATTTGGTGAGGTGTGAGCAAATTTTAATTTAGAAAATGCAGCGCAGAGAAAAAAGGTTTGGGAACCACTGCTTTAGTCCGATGAAATCCTAAGTGACAAAATGCGTCACATGACAACATTTTTCCACTGCATCTATTTTTGTCCCCTTAAATTAATCTTGATATGTAAAAATTTATATATTGTTTTCCCATATATATATTTTGTGTAAGAAGAAATATGTTACATTTTTAAGTGTATTGTTAATGTTGTCTTATATGAATGTATTTTTTTTTTCTATCCTTGCTTGTACCCTCTTGAATTTTCCTTTAAATGATACCAAAAATCTCACTAATGTTAATTAGACATTTGGGTTGGTTTTACAAGTTACACATCACAACCACCTGACCCCAGATAAGATCTGATGCAATAATTAAAATTTATATTAATCAACTGAAGAATGTTTTAATATTTTTTCTATTATACTAGAATTCATTCAATACAAGGCTCAAGAGCAACCCAAGGTAGAGGATTACTGAATGACGTGTTTAATATGAATAAAAGAGGAGGTGGTGGTTAGAAGTGAATATTATTAGGATATGGAGGATAGATAAAAATTGACACTTGACGTGATTAACAATGAAATGTTGAAAGAGATACCCATCTGAACCGGAAGAACTAAAGAATGGAGCTCATAAGAACATTTTCCATGAAAGTAGCACTAGGGTGGGAAAACAGCTGCAGAGTGGGGGTCTAAGTCCTCTTATACAAGACTGCATAAATGATTGGGAATTCTGTCAAGGCTGGTTAGTGAGGATTGATCAATCTAGATATAGCAGAAAGGCTCCTTTCTTTTTTTCCTTTTTTTTCTTTTCTTTTTTTTTGGTCTAATCTGATTCTTGTACTGATAAAGTGATGCAAGAGTCAGATACTTCCTGTGGTAATATAATAAGCTGACCATTTTTCACATGAGAACTTTTTTACACTTTGTCATACATACACATGCATATATACACTGCATTTTTTTCTTCACCAGTAGTGAGTTTGATGCACAACACAATCATTAGGTGCTGATTGCATTTTTCAGTCAACACTGTTACCAATAATGAAAAAAAAAATGTATATTTATCATTCATATAAATTATATTTCTGTTGTTATACATCAAGCATTATTTTATTAGCACCAACACTAATGCAATATTTTATATTCACATATTTGTGAGATCATTTTTATTTATATATATATATATATATATATATATATATATATATACACACACACTTCGTTAAATACAACTGACAAGATACTGCAATTAAGCTTTTTATTTATTTTTTCTTGTATAAACACAAGAAAAAATAAATAAAAAGCTTAATTAAAATAATTGTCAGTTATCTTTAACAAAACATGCATAAAAAAAAGGATTACTACCCAAGCACTATATATATATATATATATATATATATATATATATATATATATATATATATATTTTATTGATGTGAGTTTATGACCCCTGAGGTTTCATGCCCTTGTGATTGTCAGACAAAGATTTTGTCTGATGATCACCAGGCATGAAACCCAGGGTCACAAACTCACATCAGTGCAACTAAATATGTTAGCACTATCACTGATATTGAGCACTTTCCAATAAGTACTGCACCTATATAATACATGTAAAAATTACACACACACACATATATATATATATATATATATATATATATATATATACACACCCACCCTATTCCTGATATTGAGTACTTTAACTCCTAAATATAGTATACCTTAAAAGTATATTTTTATCTATCTTTATATATAATGATCTCACAAACAGATCACATTAAGACTTAACAATCATTACCCTTTGTTTACACTAAGACAACTGCAGATGGTTGAAACATTATTAAATTGTTTTTATACATTTTTAATATTCTGTATTTTTGTGTTGTCTGAATTCTTTTCTTTTTTTATTCCATTCTTATTATTTCTTTTTATTTCCCTCTTTTTGCTAAAATTTGGACTCTATGTGATTGTCTGAGTAACTGTCAATGTATCATTATTTGATGAAACTCTATTATTTTTCTTTTTACCTGACTTGTATATTTTACCTGACTTGCATATTTTAGGAACCTGACTGAACAGCAAGTTTCTCCTGGCAACGAATCCACAGCTGAAGACTCTTATATAATCATGGATCTGCCCACACATTCTCCATTTACTTTAGAAGCGCCATTCTCTGAGAGGACATTTCCTCTCACTGAGGAAGAGTTTTTATCAATGTTTGACACAGATGGTCGACTGGTGCATGAAAGACGCCTCAGAAAGTCTGTCTTCTTAGGTAAGCAGAAAAAAAAATTATTTTTATATTAAGACGGAGAAAATAATTTTATTAGAAGATGATGTTAAAATTTCTTTATGCTTTTATTCATTTTTTTATGAAAGTTTGTGAAGTTGAATCAACACAGATTAAATTTTTGTTCTGCTAGAAAAATTACTTTTTAAGAAATTAAATTTTAGCAAGCTCAGATAGTGATGAGCTGCACCTTGGTAGTTTTTTTTTTTCTCCTTATTTTTTAAATTTAGATTTTTTAATTTTTCTTCTGATTTAAAATTTTTGTTTACTGTGAATGAAAGGGAAGAAGCCTAGAAAATATTTGGTAAACTTCAACTTTCGTGCTTGCCAAAAAAACGAAATGTCAAAAGAACAGTTTTTCCCTTGACACTGCTATTATTTTAACTACCTTCACTCCTTGGCAATGTTTATTGTTTTAAACAGCAATGATGAGAGTTGTACTAAAATCAAAACATTTGTTGAAAGTGAATTTATACATTTTTTTTTGTTCTTTCAAACTTATGACAAAAATATTAAACACTATTTATTTATTAGATTGTTTATTTACAAGAATAATTTCATATTTATAACATTATAAAATCTAATACAATTAAAACTAATGCAATATTTATCATTTACCAATTTATAAAGGAATATGAAACAATTTTTTATTCATAAACATTTACTAAATTATTAAAATATATAAACCAACTATAAAGAAATCCTTATTTACCATTTTATAAAGTTTGAATCGATTAGTAATTAGTTGATGTTTGCCAAGCATTCAAATAAACAATATAATAGTGTTTAATATTTTTGTCGATTCTCAAGAACAAAGAAAATGTATAAATTCACTTTCATATGTTTATGTTTTATTAAAATTCTAATCGCTTTTTAAAACCATAAACATTGTCAAGGGAGTTAAAATAATAGCAGTGTCAAGGGAAAAACCATCACACTTGTTTTATTTTTTGTTGCTTTTGTGCTCATTTTTCTTCATCATTTGAACCTTTACTTTGCTTTTTTCCTTTCAAGTAAATTTTAATTCTCTTGCATTTAAAAAATTTTTTTTTAATCATTTCACCCCAAGAAAGGAAATAAAGTCACGAAACATTAGGGGTTACTGAGTGTGAAAGAATAAGAAAAGCAAAAACCTTATTAAGGAGTGAAAACAATGAAAGAAAAGAAATTAAGAATGCAAAAAATAATGATTGACATTGCATTTAAATTTTTGAAGATCAAAGGCAATAAAGCCACTAGGACGCAAGGGTTTACAGAGTGCTAGAGAATATGAGAAAAACTACTATTAAGGAGAGAAGACAATAAAAGAAGAATTAAGAAGACAGAAGATAATGATTGACATCGCATTTAATTTTTGAAGATCAAAGGCAATAAAGCCACTGGGACGCAAGTGGTTACTGAGTGTTAGAGAATATGAGAAAAACTATTAAGGAGAGGGGACAATAAAAAAAAACAAGAATTAAGAAGACAGAAGATAACGATTCACATTGCATTTCAATTTTTGAAGATCAAAGTTGTCTGGAAAGCACGAAGTCAGAAGAGAGTTCCACAGGTGAGAAGTTTAATAAAAGAAACTGTTAACATAGAACTCATGGTTACATTTATCTGTTTCAAGTGTAAGATGGTGAGACCTTGCCACCAATCAAGTACTGCACTTAAATTTATAAAGTAACAAAGAACAATCTTTTTTTAATCCTTTCATAAGCAAGGCAATAAATGTGAATTGATTAAAAAAAATTGATTTGTTTTCTATGGCTGATTTGCAGGTTATTTAAAGACAGAATATATTTTTAGATTGTAAGAAAAACTGTTGGTTCAAAAATATCAATTAAATAAAAATAAGTAGCAATGATGAAATTTCTTCACTTCAGACTTTTTTTTATTTTTTTTATCTCAGTTTATATTTGGAAACTAATTTTTGAAAATAGAAAAAAAATTGATACATTTTAAACATTTAACTGCACTTTTTTTCTCCATAGGTGGAATCCAGCCTGCTTTGCGAAAAGAAGTTTGGCCCTTTTTATTTGGAATGTACTCTTGCCAATCAACTAAACGGTAATGAAACTTATCTGTAAATATTTCTGTGTAATGTGTCATCTTATTCCATTTAGTCTTATTTTGTTTTTCATTCATGCAGAATGAAAATCGATGCAAAAGAATGAATTCAGATTGAAAGCCTTGTATTACATTGTTTCAAAAATAATGTCTTCTATTATCTATATATAAAATTCTGGGACTTCTGTTAGTCTGTCCGTCTTTCTGTCACACGCTCTAAAATAGCCATACATTGATTGATAGAAAACAATTTTTGTGGAGAAGTGCAAACAGGTCAGTGGCTACAAAATAGACTTAATTTTACTAGTATATGTAAAAACCACAAAGTAGGGTTTTTGTCAAAGTATTTTTCCAAAGAAATCAGCTTATATCAAATTTCATTGATTGGTTTGCAATTTTAAAATGTAGAGTTTGAAAATCTTGACACAAATATTAGCAATTCAACGCTACTAAATACCATGAGGATTTAAACATTTGTCAGCGTGCTGCAAAAAATTTCTGGTATTATTATAATAGTTACAGAAAAATATATTACTCATTCCCAATAATTAAAGTTTCCTCTGTTAATTTTATATCAATCTCTTTCAGAATTTTGTTCTCAAATATGGGGCGTACTCTTGAGTATACACTGTAAAAAAGGTATTAGATTGTGCGGAAAACAATGTCTGATTTTAGAATAAACCTCTGAATTGTGTTCTACTAAATTATTATAATAGTTACAGAAAAATATATTACTCATTCCCAATAATTAAAGTTTCCTCTTTGTTAATTTTATATCAATCTCTTTCAGAATTTTGTTCTCAAATATGTGGCGTACTCTTGAGTATACACTAGAAAATAGTATTAGATTGTGCGGAAAACAATGTCTGATTTTAGAATAAACCTCTGAATTGTGTTCTACTAAATTATTATAATAGTTACAGAAAAATATATTACTCATTCCCAATGATTAAAGTTTCCTCTTTGTTAATTTTATATCAATCTCTTTCAGAATTTAACTTAAAACATTATATACGCCCTCATTTTGAACATGAAAAAAAAGAGATGTGTTTAATTCATTTGCCTGAGTTCAAGATTGGTCATAATGTTTCTCAAACTGCTGTGCCAACATTAACATGGGTGAAGGATTCACTTGTGATCAGACAGTATGGTGTTGGTTTTTGAAGTTCCACAGTGGGGATACAAGTCTTGAAGATTGAAATGGTAGAGGATATCTATTTGCAATTGACAACCAACATCTGAAAAAAACTAGTTGAAAAAAAAAAAACCTGTTTCAGAAATGTCTCAGATAATGGCGTCGGCATTTCAACAAGATCTCAAGAGAATTGGTAAAGTGAAGAATTCTATAAATGGTTTCCACCTGAACTCAGTGAAAGTCAGAGTTCAACATTTTGAAGTGTGTTCAATGCTGCATTTTCAAAATTTGAATGATCCATTTATTGATTGGATAGTGACTTGTGATGAGAAATGGATCCCTTATGACAATCATAAAGGAACGGGTCAATGGCTTGACCATGACAAAGCACCCAAACACTTTCCAAAAACTGAAATTTCACCAACACAAGATTAGCATGACTTTCTGGTGGTCTGCCATTATTTTTATCCATAACAGCTTTCTGGAATCTATCCAGAGCATCACTGCCAAAGTTTACTGCCAGCAACTGGATAGAATGCTCATTCAATTAAGCAAAATGTGACCAACAATTATTAATCAACAAAGTCCAATTCTTCCTAACGATGCTTGGCTAAATGTTAAAAGGGTAACACTGCAGAAATTCACAAAATTTGGGATATAAGATTTTGCCACATCTACCATATTCTTCTGATATCTTACCCACTGACTAACACTCTTTCAAGTATCTTGACAATTTTTTAAACCAAAAGACATTCCATTGCAAAAAAGATGCAGAAACTGCATTCAAAGATTTCTTGGCATCCAAACCAAATGAGTTTTATCGTAAAGGCATAAATGACCTTGTAATTCAATGGCAGAAATGTATAGATGTTTATGGTACCTATTTTAACTGAGTTCATCATTGTTTAAATACATTAATTCAGAAATGAAAGTTGATTCTAAAATTGGATATTATTTTCCAAAGAACCTAATAACTCTACTGGCTCTGTATCTTTTTTTTTTTTTTTTTTAAACTGACATTTTTTTTCTCCTCTAGGAAAGAGATATACTATTTTCAATAACTTATAATACATTTTTTCTAAAAATGTTTCAAATTAAACACTAGGTTGTCTGAATTTCTTTTCAGAGGCATTTTCATTGTCAGTTTTGACTTATTTGACTGTGTCTGAATGTCCCTCCCCCTTTATATCACGCTGTTTGGGTTATTTTATATTCGACAAACATTACAATTGTATTTGATTTAAATTTGGATGAGAATACAACAAGATGATTTTGAAAACATGGGAAAATTAAAGCTGAGTCGATTTGAATATAAATCAGCAGTTATAAGAAACTTTTGTAAGCCTGACTTTACATCAAAAGCAGGAGTCTACCAAATAGAATGTAAACAATATTCCTAAAATACATTGGTGGAACATGCTGGAATTAAGGAAATAGAACTACTTAGGTTATATAAATAGCAATTAAATTGAAATTAATAAAATCTGACTTCAAAAAAGATACAGTTGAATTAAAAATGAATAATAAATCAAGCATTCATATAATTGACATATTTCAGTCTTACTAAATGTGAATTTAGTTAAAATAAAAATCCATCTTTCTAATGATGCTTTTTGATCAAGTTGTTTTTTTTTTTCTGAATTGTCTTATTTTTTTATCATTGAGTGATTCGTTTGTTATGGCAGATCAACTCTTTGCAAGTTATTTAAATCCAGAACATATTTTTAGATTGTAAGAATTTTTTTTTTTTTTTTTTTTCTAGATTACAATCAATATATAAACTGATCACTCACTTTGTGGCCAATCTCTTCAAATACAGAATCAATTGATATCTATCCTACATGTCCTCATAATATGCATTTCTTACTTCTTCCCCTCCCTTTCAAAAATATCATTCAGTAACCCTCTGCCTTGAGTGGCTCTTGGGCCTTTTATCGGGTGGACTAACAGAAAAAAAAAGTTGACTTATTTTTATTACTGATCAGTTATTGCACCCATTTCCACTGAGTTCAAGTACACACTGCCTGACCCAGAGATTGAACTCTCAACTCACCAAATTCACAAACCAATGCTTTAATCCACTAGGCTATTGTCCCAATTCTCTGTGGTGAACTAGGAGCCTTAAACCTAACCTGACTGCTGATTAGTGCTGCTATGGCTACCTGTCATGCTTTACTGCTGCTGACTTTTGTCTTAAGAATTAGACGAAATATCCCTAGACATGAGCAGTAGAACGTGTGCAGTTTACCCCTGTAGATTAAATAAAGGGTTCAGTTCAAAATTCCCTGTGGGTTACCCAAATCAATATACACCTGATGTAGGCTGGAGGGTAAAACAGTCGAAATATTGTGATAACAACAAAGATTTTATCTGTGGGAGTAGCCTGTTCTCATTCCACTATGGACTAGGGCTTTAGAGCCTGAGCCAGAAGCAAAGGGGTCACTGGAGGCGAAGACAGTAAAACTATACTGACTCTGACTACAGTTGAATTTACACTTTATGTAAAAAGTCTTACATTATTTTCATTGTTATTTCTTCAACTGTATATTTACTATTTCCTTTAAAGAAATTCATCTTGACTTCTTTTTTTAAAATTATTTTATTTTTTTGTAGTTATTTTGTATTTGCAAAACTATATATGTAAAGAAATCTTACATTATAGCATTTATTTTTATTATTTCTTCTATATCCTTTCAAAGATTTTGTCTCTAATTCTGTTAGAAAATATTGAAGAATAAATAGGACTGATATAAAATCCACAATATCTTTATTCTTTGATATAAACTAACTATAATAATGTAGGCCTACTCAAGTTAGGAGCATATGCAGAGGCTTTATGAGATTTGTAGGCCATAATCACTTAATTATATAAAGAGGAGTCGGAGGTGTCAAAAGTCGAGGAGTCAGAGATTTTATGTTCTACAGCCCTGCTATGGATGTCTTGTCTGGTTTTTATTTTTAGTACTTAATCAGTTCAAAATGGTGAATCTTTATAGGAAAGTTTTAGAGAAAAAAAACATTACAATGTCATTTTTTTTTTTTTTCTTTGGCAGGGAACGTGAGATTTTACAGTTGGAATATGTGATCAAATATCATGAAATGCGAGCTCACAGTCTCCATGTGCTTGGCAAATTAGAAGAAGCAGCAGCAGCTAGAGCTGCTGCAACAGGTAAGGCAAATCACGAAACGAGTTTTTTTTTTTTATTTACACTATTTACATTGTTCAGATTGTTGTCCTCATCTTTGTTGCCATATTCATGACGTTTCAGCTGTTGTACACTCTGGCCATCTTCAGGCGATTGGAATTTTGAACTGAACCCTTTTTTTTCATTCACTGGGATAGATTGTTCTAGTTACACATGCCATGCCTCTTCTTAGCTAAGTGACATAATTTAATGTCTAATAAATAAAAGTGAGTTGAAGTTGAATTTTTTTATGATGTAATTATTATTTATATTATTTTAATTTGGCATTTATGTATTATATATATATATATTTATGTCTTATATATTTGAAATAATTGAAGGCTTTGAATTTAATGTTTTCTTTTCCTTTTTAACCTTTTTATAGTCATGTATGTTGGCTTGGGAAAAGGAGTAATTCTTTCAGGAACAGAGAAACATCATTTACTCACTTTCGTTTATTAGATGTTAAATTATGTCTCTTTGCATCCTCCATAATTTATCTAGACTTTTCAGTTAACCTGATGAATATTTATGAGCGTTTCTTAAATTTAAAAATTCTGAAAAACTAACAACATTTTTACTTTTGTTTATAAATGCTTGTTGCAAAATAAAAATCCTTATATTTGCCTTGATGAAGTCCATCAGAGGACAAAATGCATCGGCTAAGATAAGTTTTCCTTTTGTCTTTATTCATATTGTTTTTTCACAGATATATTTTTTAGTTATATCTGATATTTGGAATATTCAACATTGTTCAGCCACTCAATTACCCTCCTTGCCTTGTTGCTGAAAAAGTCACTGACATACCCAGCATTGTTGTAAAGGATGGAAGTAAGAAGTGCATATTATGAGCATATGTAGGATAGATAACAGTTGACCCTTAAATTAAAGCAGTGAATATTATAGTGATCAGGGAAGCATCATCTCTGTAGTCTGTTCCACAAAGTAACAGTTCTGAAAAAGGAGCTGTCTGAGTGGAATTTCCTCCTTACCAGTGGAATATGATTGGAATGTGGATGAGTCAACTCTGCGTATTTGGCATGGCATGTCCTTGCTGTGAAGGTCTGAACTGGTGAGCTAAGGAATGTAGATTGCTTTAACATTTGCTGTGAAGTTTGAGTGTAGTTTCTTATGTTTTCATTTTTGTTATTGGAAATGACCATGACAGAAGCCAAGGGCAGAGTTTCCCCAGTTCATGCTGATACCCTTGTGAAAAGTATGAATCCAACTCTTCTCCCCTCAGCTATGGATAAATAGTAGGACAGACTGGGTTCTATAGCCTTGGTTGGCAATTGGTCTAGGAGATGGAAAACTCAGTATTCAAAATTGTATATAGCCCTGGCAAAATACATACTATGAAGCTAAGGAAAAAATCATTCGTATTGACCCAATGATCCTGACTATGATTGATTCCTTTTTGCTTGTATATGACTTGCCTATGAACAAAATAAATGCTTTTATGTGTATACCTGATTGTTTTTTTCAGACCAAGAATTAGATGACAAAGAAAACACTACTGAACTTTCTCAATCTCAAAACCTGGTTAACATTGGCAAATCTCCTTCTTCTGGGGATGAGTCCAGTTGGACAGCTGTCAATGTTGACTCCCAAAATAATGTCCATGAGATAACGGCGCCACCATCTACAGCCAGAAATAGTTTGTCCGATGATATTTTTACAAGTCCCAAACATAGTCATATTTCTTGCACAGTCTGTGGGCAGCCTCTGGACAATGCTGACCAACGATCTCTCAATGGAACAAAATGTGCGAGCCTTGCTACAGAACATTTGTGCACTTGTTTTCACAGGCTTTCTCCTGAAGAGAGAGCCAACACAAGAGTGGCCCAACTTCCGCTAAATGATGTTGATACATCCAGTAAACCATTACAAACATTCATGTTTCCTCCCGACCATCCGGTACATCGGAAACTCTGTGAATCTGGTGAAGAAATGAAATATTCTTTGATGGTCAATCAATCGAGCAATAGTTCTTCGTCTTTGGAATCCATGAGGAATAGTTCCAAATCTGTGGATCTGGATTTAGAGGATATTGCAGCTGCTGTTGCAGAAGCTGAAGCTAAGAAATTCCAAACCAATATCTTCCCATCAGACCTCAGTGATTCTGGCCTTAGTATGGACTGGTCATCCCCAGATGTCCAAAAACAGATTAATTTCATTGACTTTCAAGCTCAGGTGAGTGATTGCATTCTTCTTCTTCTTCAAGCAAGGGGTTACAGAGAGTTGGAGCTAGAGGAAAGGATGAAGAGAAGGATAGGGGATAGATCAAGGCATCAGGAGACGTCGATTGACATTACATTTGAATAGTTGGAGATTATAGCTATCAGGGAAACAGGAAGAGGGGAAGGAGTTCCAGAGGTGTGAGACATGAAGCTATTGGAGTAGAAGAGATGGCTACATTTAACGGTTTCGACAGTGAAAGGGTGTGAGCCTAGTAGAACGCTTAAATTCAGGAAGTTTGGGAACCAGTGAAAGCAACTCCTTGGAGCAGTTACCATGAAAGTATTTGTAAAAAAGACAGAGGGAGGTGATAGCACGTCTGTGAGAGACGTTGCATATCCGTCTCTGAATCTTATCAAGAACCTTGAGACAAACATAAGGGTTTTAATGTTAATTACCAGAAGATAAATAATCGGTTGATTGATCTATGAAAAACATGTAACCGATGTTGCAAGGATCATTTTTTTTTTTTTTTTTTAGGATTATTTTTTTTTTATATTGTTTCTTTTATATGACTAGTGTACCCGTGCCGTCAAAATTGACGTCAAGAAGGAATGTATTATAAGTAATATGTGTTGTAAGTAATTTTGCTGAATTCTTTGCAATCCTCACATGCCAGAGGACTGATATCAAGGAATGTCTCATAACTAATTAATGGTCTTTTTATATGTGTGGACCATATGGATGCGCAGACACACACATTATATATAGTAGTGTACCTGTGCCGTCAAAATTGACGTCAATAAAGAATGTATTATAAGTAATACATATTATATTATAAGTAATTTTCATTTAGTCCAAGTACAATTTTATATTTTAAAATAGTTTGTTAATGTTAATAATTGAACAGTGTTCACTCCAATGATAATTCTTTTAATGCTGAATTCTCATTGGAATTTAGTAAAAATTTTATAAAGAAATAATTATGCATTTTTAAAATTGTCACATAAACTTTATTATTATTAATATGCAGTTATTTAATGAAAGAATAAACAGAAAATGTTAGGTTTATACAAACATTTTATTTATACTTTATTCAAAATATGCAGTACGTATAAATGCTTAAGGAAAGATATCCGTATATTATCCTCATAAATGTCACATATTTCAACTAAAATTATGTTTACTGCAAAACTTCCCAAAGCACAATATTTTTTTTTGTGGAAACTTTGGAAGGTCTGAGTAATTCTTAACAATCCATAGATTCAATCTGAAATTTCAGAGTCTGCTTATTTGTCATCCTATTAAAAGCAACATATCATCAGATATATATTTAAAAAAAAAAAACATTTTTTTTCTCAAGCTATTACCAAAAATCACAAATTATGCTTCAAATCATAAATGCATAAAATCTATCTAATTATTTAATCGTATAAGCTTTGAATTGCTATCATAAATAATATAAATGAAGGATGTAGTGTGAATAAAAAAAACCGCTTTCGATGACTAATGAATTATTACAAGAATTTTTCCCCCACCTTTTTTTTTTCAATTATAATTTTTGAAATTTAAAATGAATTTCTAAAAATGAACAAAGCATTCTTGAAGATATATGTGGTGTATTATATATGAACACATATCTGTGAGACTGTGAGCCTGCATTTCATGATATTTGATCACATGTTCCAACTGTAAAATCTCACGTTCCCTGCCAAAGCAAAAAAAAATGACATTGTAATCTTTTTTTTTTTTTTTTTCCTCTAAAACTTTCCTATGAGATTCACCATTTTGAAAAAACTGATTAAGTACTGAAAATAAAAATTAGATGAGACATCCATAGCAGGGCGGTGGAGTCGGAACACATTATACATATGACGTATTATATATATATATATATATGAACCCTCTTTGATAGTGATATCAGTAGATGTCAACAGAACAAGTTAGCACGGCACTGGGTGGGTCATCGTTATTTTGCACATTGCCCTCAATTGTTACCCCCCAAAAAATGTAAATATATATGTTGCGAATTTTTATATATATATATATATGTATATCTCCGAGTACAGGGTTGGTATAGATGGAATAAAATTCTGATAACCAAGAATACTATTTTGAAAAAAGTGCTCAATACAAAGTAAAGCAAATAATATTTATTCAAAAATTATAACATAAGCATGTTATAACCTCACTACAAAAATAGCCATTTTGTTTCAACACTTCTGGTGTCTTCTCAAGTGATGGTGTTGATTGCGAAATAGTTTTTTCGAAAATTCAAAACCAAATCGAACTCCCTCAATAGGGCAAACATTGTTACATAACCTATGATGACCAATCAGAGTACTAGTATATTGTAATTAAAAAAAAACGTGACAATATATTCTAAATACAAATCATTAGTGTATTAAAGTTAATGTTAGATTAAACTAGAAATCAATATGAAATAATTAAAGTTTAATTTCATAGTAAAATTAAATATTACAAAAATTTAATCAAGCATTAGGTTTAAATTATTACAAAATTATTCAAAAAAAGAAAATGGGGAGAAATATATATATATATATATATATATATATATATATATATATATATATATATATATATTACTGTTCTTAGCTAAGTGCCAATTTAAATGCTGATGTAAGAAGTATCTACAAATGTTACAAACATTAGGTACAAGAAAGTCAGAATTCACATGCAAAGGTCAATAAGGAGAAGGATTATACATATGACACGACAAACACATTCACATCCTAATACACAAATACGTAAATATAACTAAATATATAAGAACCACACAGGAAATAGAAGAAGAAAATGAAAAAAAAAAACAAAGGAAAATAAAGATAAAGAATAAAAAGAGGATAAAAACAATAAGAACAAAAGAAAATAATATCAGACCCAAACATATACAAGTAAAAGCAAATACAAGCAATCACGCACCCGTGTCTATATAGAAATAAACAAACTCATCCAAGATTCAAGCACAAATACAATAATAAAACAACCCAAACCAACCATCAAAATATTAAATACATGAACAAACATATAGATAAGGGGGGGGGTGTAATCAAATAAAGGTAATAAGGGCAAGAAATAGCGTATGTATGCTTCATATATACATGTAGTAGAAATACGCATATCAGGCTTAAACAAAGGAAAGAAAGAAAAGACATATATACATACACACACATAAAAACAACCACTTACACATGTATACATATACATAAAACCAGAATAACAAAATCCACAAGTCCCCCCCAAAAATAGTACACACACAAAAAAACAACATATAAACAAAAATAAAAACACCCCAACATACTCACATATGCACAAATATATATGCAAACACACAACTAAAAAGATGTATGTATGTATGTATATATATGTATGTATATATGTTTATATATATATGTATATATATGTATATATGTTTATATGTTTATATATATATATATGTATATATGTTTATATGTATATATGTATATATGTTTATATGTATATATATGTGTATATGTATGTATATATATGTATATATGTATGTATATATATATATATATATAATAAAAAGAAAGAACAGTAAGATATATAATCCAGTGTTCTTATTGATATTTTTATTTTTACCAAACAGTGCTCAATGTAAATTTACAGAGCATAAATATTATAAATTAACTAATTACCATGTTTCAAAAATCAAAGCTAAACCTTCAAATTTAATTATATAAACAGAACTAATGCTTTTAATTTAATCATATAATTAAATTTGAAGTTTTTAGCTTTGATTTTTGAAACATGGTAATTCCTGTGTAGCGAAGAAACCATATTTTAAATCAGTTAATTTATAATATATATATATATATGCACCTAGATCAATACACCCATATATAAACAGAAGTAGAAACAAATATACTAATATACATTCATACATGCTTACCAAGATATCTATAATGAATTCAGAGTCCATGCAAAATTAATGCATGAAGAATTACAGCTATTCAATATGAACAATCTATGTTAGGCTAAATCACTGGCAAATAAGAGTAGATTATCATTAACGATGATGATGATCCAGTTACAAAAAAAAAATTATATATATATCAAGCTCTTCTGATTAATTTCCATTTATCAGTAGGAGTTCTGTTTCTCTTTTAAACTTCAAAAGTACTTGGACAATGAAGTACTATATTTATAAGAACTATTATTGAAGGAAAATACATGTTGATACCAATGGATTTTAAATGTATTTTTAGTACTTCCAATGTAAAATTTTATTCATATTTGGGTTTTCAAATGTAGAAATAGTACTAAGATAAACCTTGTAACTAGCTAGGCAATTTTTTTGTAGTGAGCAATCATTGGAATTCTTACAGTTACATCTGCCAGTATAATATTATTATACTTAATATTATTTAAAACATCATTACAATACATCATGCCTTTTGAATTTTTATACTCATTGAATACTTTGTTTTTTATTTTCTCAAGGTTATCTACACAACAATAACTTAATTTAAGAGTATTTTTATTAAATATTTCACTAAGCAGATTAGTTTTGGGAAAATGTTTATTAATAAGATTTAGGAATTTTAGTCATTAGTTTTAACCATAAGGTTGAAAAGGAGAGTAAACCAGATGATCTTCCTAGATCTTCTTTTCTTATTATGGTCATAATTAATGGGATTTATGTATTTAATATTAGTACCTTTATAACCGCTATTTCTAAGGGCAGAATTGTGTGTGTGTGTGTATATATATATATATATATATATATGTAAGAGAAAGAGAGATTATTAAAGATTATTAAAGTGTTATTTTCAGGTTATGGTAAAAAGAAAGGATGTGCACAAAAAATGGAACTGGTATTTTGTGTTCAAATTCTAGGTGGGGCTGTGGCATTCACATTCATACAAATACTCTTTGGAAAGGTACGAGCCACTCTATTCTCCCACTAGCTATGAGTTAAATAGCAGGGCAGGTAGTGCCTTGATTGGCAACCAGTTTAGGAGAATGATAAT